ATATATATATAGCAATTACCTTATTCCTAACTCCTAAAACCTATAACCTATATACTATATCCCAATATTACCATATACATATATACCCATACACCTATGTACCTGAATATCCATTATATTAACATATATAGCTACATACGTATATACTATATATCTACACATATACATACATAATGTATTATATAAATACCAAAAGGCTAAACTCTTTACAACAAAGATGTACTTTTCAAATTGGCATATCTACATACCGTTCCTCAAAGGCTCAATGCCTCTCAGAGGCTCACAGAGGCTCAGCCCCTCATTTTTACACAAGATTGGCTGGCGAGAGAAAGAAAGGTGGAGAGTAGAGCAGTGCAACAAAAATCTGTCAAATTATTTGTTCTTGATTTTTTTGATAATAAAAAAAGAAACTATTCTTTTGCAAAGAAAGAGAAAATGACTTTTTTTTCGGTTTAAAAAAACCCAAGGTTTAAATATTGACTAATCACTAGTGAGTTTACACTCCAGAAAATTGAACAAAAATATTTTGTTAAAAAGTATAAATAAGTAAAAGTATTATTCTTGTTTGCTGCGTATTTTTATAAAATTTAGCACACACTGACTGACCAGCTGACCGGTCTGACAGACTGAGACTCTGACTGCTGTGCGCTGAGTCGCTGACACTCGACTGAGTCGACTCCACACAAGAAGAGGTCGGTTCTTGCCTTTTACGTATTTTTATTAAAAAAAACAAATAGTAAAGCCCTCCTCTCTAGCAATTTACCACATGGGCTCGGGAAATACATAGTCAATTGGTGATTAATATGACGTAATTGATAGTAATACATTTATTTATTTTCGGTTGAGAGTGAAATACAAATCTCCAAAATGAAAACCTTTCACCCGTGACTCTGTGAGTATTCTGATGGGGCAATTTTTAAACAAAGAATGTGTTGTCGTTAATCGTTATATTGAGCCAATGATTATCGCCGCAGAATATATCTTTATGAAAATATAATTGGGCACAGTCTCAATGGCCACATTCCAATGCCCGGATGTATACCATTTCGTGTTTTTTTCATAATACACCAAAACTGACAACTCGATTGGGAATAAATTCGAGTGAATTGACCTTTTTATTTATTTATCCAAACAGGTCTATCACCAAAACAAAAGGTATATTTAATCTTCACAAGGACTCAGTTGTCTGAATACCACCAGTCGAGGACGAGGAAGATGTGGTATATTACTGTTATTTTCGGTTTTTTGGTTATTGTACAGACAGCGTATGCGATAGGTATTGATCCAATCGTCGACACGAACCCTGATTTGACAATTAAGACTTGCGGGCAATTTCTCGATGAGGATGGTTTACTCTGCCCTGAAGGATACATATACAATATAGTGACTGCTGCAGTTAGTGTAGATGATGCGGCAGACTTCAATGCGAAGTGTTGCGTTGAGGTTGTGACTACTGTTGATGATCTAGCAGCTGTGGAGATTAAGACTTGTGGACAGCTATTCGATGGGGATGGTTTATTCTGTTCTGAAGGATTTATATACAGTGTAGCATCTGCTGCAATTAGTGTAGAAGATTCGTCCAATTTTAATGCGGAATGTTGCATTTCGATTGTGAACACTGTTGATAACACGGTAGACGCCGTCGATACGTTACTGTCGTGTACTGCAGCTAGGGTCCTTGGGGGACAGTATGTTTGTACAGGGAGGCGTGTATTCAATGTTCTCAGTGTTTTGTCTATTTCAACCGAGGCGGAATACGACGGCTCTTGTTGCAGAGACCCGCATTGTGATGAGGCAACAAATGACATCGTTTTCGCGTGCGGTGCCAACCGCGTATACAGTCCCTTAAGTGATCTAACTGTCGAGATCAGTTCTCTGGCTGAATACGATAGCAAATGTTGTGCACCGGAGGAAGTTTTGTGTTCCGAGGCACTCTTGAGAGCAGATTATACCTGCGCAACCGGGCGCACATTTAATCTAGCGTCCGCAGCAACAGTTGTATCAGGAGTAGAAAACTTTGACAGGGTCTGTTGCAGAGATAGTTTCCTATGTGGCCAACTCTTAAATACTGATGGCGATACATGTCCTGAGGGTAAGATCTACAATCCTCTCTCTGTTAACGCAATTCTTGGCGATGGTGGTACTTTTGAAAGTACCTGCTGTATCGATATGGTTTGCGCCAATGCCGTGTTAAGAGATGGCTACACTTGTCCCGGAGTTAGCACATACAATGTATTATCTGATGCTGTAAGAGTGACTGGATTAGCTGATTTCCAGAATTCATGCTGCCTGGACTTACAGTGTGCACGCGCTGTACTTCTGGATGGTTATGACTGTACGGGTGATCGTGTTTACGACCCTATCTCCGATTTAGCAATTTTAGGGAGCGCAGACGAGTATGATCAGACCTGTTGCTCTGATATGACGTGTTTGCAAGCTTTGCTCACGGATGCCTACGCATGTGCAGGTGTACGCGTGTACTCCCCTCTTTTAGATAGTGTACTTCTGCCGAGTGTTAGTGACTACGACGCTAGGTGTTGTGAAGATGCAACTAAAGTTGAGCTCAAAACGTGTGCCTCGGTAGCTGATCTTGATGGAATCATGTGCCCCGAGGGACGTATATATCGCCCTGCGTCGGCCGCAGTCGAATTAGAAAGAACTGCCCATTTCGACTACGGCTGTTGTGAAGACGTTCAATTAGAGATACCAGTGTGTGCCCAGGAGCTTGGTGTGGTGGGTGCAGTATGTTTAAATGGCGGAGTGTATAATCCACTCTCTGCGGCTGTTTTTGTACCAAGTATGGATGAATTCAGTGACAACTGTTGTCACCCGAAAGAGAAAGTAGATTGCAACTCACAGGTTAGTAGATGTCAAGGAGTAGCAGGATTGATCGGCAGTATCTGCCTCGATGGTCGAGTATATGACCCTCTTTCCGCCGAAAATGCAATAAGTGTAGGGTTGGATGCAGATTTCGACGCGATTTGCTGCAAGACTGTGGAAGTGGATGTGCGAATATGCGCGCAAGGTGTTGGCGCCGGGTATTCGTGTGGAGAGGGGCAGTTGTACGACCCATTAAAAGCCGGTCTACTGGCCCCTCTGGCCGAAGATTTCGCGCTTTCCTGTTGCAAAGATATACTCAACTCTGAGACGCCTGTGGAAGTCTGTTCACAAGCTCTCGGTCGAGGTGGATTCTTATGTGGCAATAATAGAGTGTATAGCCCATACTTGGCAAGTATCGCGTTGGGTTCGGGCTCCGACTATGACGCAAATTGCTGCATGGATGTCCAGGTAGACGTGCAAGTGTGTGCGCAAGGTCTGGGTGTTTTAGGTTTTGAGTGCCCAAGTGGCACGAAGTACAATCCCCTCACAGCCAACGCTTTACTGAGTCGTGCGGGAGATTTTGCTTCACTCTGCTGCGAAGAAGACACCGAGTGCGAGCCAGTTTGTAATGACAACCCAATCAATACCTGCGTAGATGCGCTTGGGTTGAAAGGTTTCTTGTGTGGCGATGGACGTGTGTATAGCCCACTTTTGGCACTTTTGCCCTTAAGCGAGGCATCTAATTTCGACTCCGCTTGTTGTGATACGGATCCAAATCTGAAAGTGGATCTATGCGCTGGTGTGCTAGGTGTTGCAGGTTATGTATGTCTTGATGGAAGTGTGTACTCACCGGATTTCGCCGACAACGTTGTATCGGATGCCTCTGATTTCAACGGTAAGTGTTGTACAGTTACCACGGTAGTTAACGAAGTTACGGAGTGTGTCCAGGCCCTTGGAATCAGCGGCTATTCATGCGGCGAAGGACGCGTTTATGATCCCACGTCTGCGTTGGTTGGTGTGGCGCTCACCGCTGATTTCGATCAGCTTTGCTGTCAAGATGATATGTCATCGCTTGTGCAAGTATGTGCCCAAGTGTTGGGGGTTATTGGCAACAGCTGTAGCACAGGGCGTCAGTACAATCCTCTATCATTGGATGTTGAGCTTCTTGGCGATAAAACCTTTGATGAATTATGCTGTGAGCCGATCCCGGATTACAACTCAGATGTACCCGACTGTCAACCGGCGTGTAATGAGCCTGGGTTACAACCAACATGTGTTGAAGCACTTGGCCTTACCGGCTACAATTGCGGTCTGGACAGGGTGTACAGATTGAATTTAGCAGATGTTCTGCTTTCTTCGGCGGACGATTTTGATACGAAGTGCTGCGGTCCCCCAGAATGCTCGCAAGCGTTGAATTTGGCCGGGTTCTTATGCGCAAATGGCCATATATATGACCCCGACTCAAAAGACCTAGAAGTAACTGCGAAAGCTGACTTCGACACTCAGTGCTGCGAACAGGACACATCGGTGAATATATTGGCGTGTGGCGATGTGCTTGGTGTAGCTGGCTTTTCCTGTACCAGTGGACGAGTATTTGATCCCCTTCGAATTTTAGATGTTGTGGACGAAGCATTCGACTCGTCATGCTGTAAAGATAGTCTTCTGGCACTCGACGCACAGCTGTGTGTTCAGGCGCTAGGACTCGGCGATTACACATGCGACGATGGGAACGTGTACAACCCTCTTAAAGCAAACGTGGGTATTGCACTCGCCAGCGATTTCCAGGAAGCCTGCTGTAAACAGGATGTCGAGGTGAAAGTATCAACTTGCTTGTCGGTTCTGGGATTGATTGACTATTCCTGTGGCCCCAACCGGAAGTTCACACCGATCTCCCTCAGTCTTCAACTGACCGGACCGGAGGACTTTGATGCCAACTGTTGCGAGGATATTGGATCAGGTAGTTACAACCCCGACCTTCCCGACTGTACTAGTGCCTTGGGCGTTGATGGTGTAGGCAACTCAGACAACACAACTGTCGTACCAGAAGGAGAAACCCCGACCGACCCAGATACAACTTCAAGCCCCCAGTCATGCAATGCCGCCAGAGCAGATGGTGTGTGGAGTTGTTCGAGCCAGGACATGTACGATTATCCATCAAATGAGTCGCAAGTCTCCGACCTCAGCGAATACAGGACCCTCTGCTGCAAAGAGAAACCATGCATGACGCTTGTGAGCAAAGGGCGAGTGCTGTCCGTCGATCAGGTATGCATACGGCCCACCGAACCGAGCTCTGGAGGTGACGGCGGAGCTGCGCCAGCCGATGGGGGCGCGAACAGCACCGACAGCTCCGGCGCAGGTGGTACAGGCAATACGACAAGCGATGGAGGGGCGTCTACGACTCCTGAGGGGGATACTTCCGGTGGCACTTCAGGGTCAGGCGGTACTACTGATGGGTCCACAACCGGGTCTACAGATACTTCGTCCTCAGGAGATAGTTCTATTAGAATAGAGCCTCGCATGTGCAAGTCCTTGATAGACGATCTGGATCTATGCAAAGATAGCCTGTGCACGAATGTCGGTATCGACCCCAACTCAGCGGCATGCGTGTGTAACGGCGAGTTTGAGAACGATCCGTACTGTAACGCGTGCACCGTGAATGGCTGTGACCAGTGTGTGGCCAGTGCAAACGGGGAGGAGATATACCGTCCCCGTATTAACGATCAGTTTGGTCTCGAGGACAACCTAGGCCTCTCCACTCCGTTGGCTATTGGTCGGTGGTGTGTGGAGTGCAATGTCCACGATATTGCGAACGTGTGGGAATGCACACAGTGCCAAGACGATGTTGGTTGCATATCAGGTATCGATCTGACTACGAATCTGCCGGCCGCCTTGACATCCAGTGATATTGTTCCTATGAAATGGGTGGAGACAGGAACGCGTTCGCTCTTTGACATTACCGGTCCCAATTGGGTTCTAGCACGATGTGATGGTACGGAGGATGCCGGAGTCTGTTTCGATCAGCAATCTTACGTAGAGCCAAGTCCTCTCCGTTAAGTGATTCTGGCTATGTATTAATTGTACTCGTATACCTGACAAGGGATACGAATGCAAGTGATGGATACCAAGACGATCTTATTGTACGAAGTTAGTATCAACATTTGTCCTAAAATAAATATATAAAATTGGAATTCTGAAATAAGATCGCATCTTTATGCATGTGATATCAACTATATCTTCTTGTGATATTGCAAATCAGTGATCAGGCAAACCGGATGTTTTTAAACAATAAAAAAATGAACCAGAGGATTTAAAATAAAATAGAACATTTAATAAAAAATACAAAAAAGGGAAACATATGTGATATCATTAGTAGGGTTTCCTGAAGGGTGTAGGGTTTGGAGCATTTGATAGAAATATGTAGCTTCTTGAAACGTCAATTTTTTATGTGGCTGGTATACAATATATTTAAGTACGAGAGATAGTGCCCTCCATCATATCATGATAGACGATAGTCATAAACACTTAAACAGCTGTGCAACGAATGAGGGCATAGTCCACACAAGAACACATACTAACCAATTAAACTGTTTATAATTGATGGTTTGGACCACATTTGCACCCCATTTTTAACAACAATATCTCAATACATATACATAAAATTATATAGCACCCTGCCCATGCCAACGTGTTCAAGTGCGAAAACCCTTGACCATATCGAATGTCAGCGTCGAGTATATACGGTACGATATTTGGGCTCACAGTTGCGTCTCTATTCTTGATTTTTAGCAATCGGTGCCTTTGCTCGTACAGCCCTATGCTTTGAAAGCTCATGTTTCTTTACATATATTTATATACCGACAGACAGACATAAACACACGTGTACACACACACTCATATATATATATATATATATGTATGTATGTATGTATGTATGTATGTATGCATGTATGTATGTATGTATGTATGTATGTATCTATGTATGTATCTATGTATGTATGTATGTAGGTATGTATGTATGTATGTATATATGTATGCATGTGTGTGTGTATGTATGTTTGTATGTACGTATGTATATATGTATGTATGTGTGTATATGAGTGTGTGTATGTATGTGTATGTGTGTTTGTATGTGTGTGTGTGTGTGTATGTATATATGTATGTATATATGAATGTATGTATGTGTGTGTGTGTGTGTCGGTCTGTATGTCTGTGTGTATGTGTGTGTGTGTGTGTATGTATACATGTATGCATGTATGTATGTATGTATGTATGTATGTATGAATGTATGTATATTTGTATATATATAAATAAATATGAATCTACACATACATGTATATATATATATTATATATATATATATCTTAAATATATATATATAA